AGAATTTGTGAGGAGTTGAGTTTTTTTGAAGAACCATGGAGATGACAAGAGACAATTTTCTCCTTTGATGGTTTTTTTGGTTGATTTCAACAGGGTTTTTTTCTTTCTTTTTTTCATTTGAATGGAGAAGTTGATTTGAGGATAAAAAAGGAATAGAGGTGAATAGGGTCGAGCCGTCATCGCCGGAATTACGTAACGGCGGCAACGGTAGAAGCAAAGAACTCTTTTAGGTCGCCAAAAGCGGTGGCTCTGATACCATGTTGAAATATTGGAATAATAATATTACTCCTTGAATTATGAAGTACATGATAGAGTATAAATAGAATAGATCCCTAACATACACAACTAGGAATACAGAATGAAGACTAACTAAAATACAACATATATCACAAATAGTAATAAAAAGATACTCAAACACTACCATAACCAATACTACTAGAAGTAATATTAGTATTATTGTCTAACATTTATCGTTATCATTTTTTAAAATTGTTTCCTTCGTCCTAAAACTATCTTCCCGTTTGTGTTTACTAAGTTTGACCGACTTTATTTTCAATTTAATTTATTTGATTGTAGGTGTAAAATTAAAAAATAAATTTTATATATTTAAAAACTACATCAAAAGTTTTACAAAACAAGAAGTGAATAGTAACTAAAAAGATAGTTTTAGGACGGAGACAGTAATTTACAACGTTAAAATTTTATTCAAAACACTAATTGTCAAATAAATGTTCTAATTCCACTTCTCACTTTTGGGTAATATAATTGAAATAAAAAGTGATTATACTTTTTTAAAATAAATTTCAATACTTCTTTTCAATTTGTTTGTGATTGATTCAACAAAAAATACTTGATCATATGAAGTTAATTTTTTTCAAAAAAAAATATATTCCCAGAACTAGTTCAAACGGGAACCGTAGCAAAAAAATAATGCCACCATTGATTTAACACAGTTTTGATGTTTTTTCTAAATAATAAATTGTACGTACTCCATATTTTTTAATTATACACTAACACTCAAAAAAATTAATTAAAAATATTTCGATCAAACACTATCTAAAGAACAAAGAAAATTTTACTTCGTATTTAGGAAGAACAAAGAATTATTGGGGAAAAAAGTTAATCAGACGGATGAAAGAAAAGGTAGAAAACTAACAATATACGAGAACCTTTTTTGGTGTTTGGTAAAACATAAAGAGATATCGAATTTGACATCTACAGACATTCACATCTGTTGCAAATGAAAGATTTCAATATTTCTCAAATTTGAGAGATATCAATATAAGAGTTTCATATTTTTCTCAACATCATTCCTTGTTTCTAGACTTTACCACAGAGGTATCATAAATTCCAACTTATGAAAAAAAGTGAAATTTAGTTTTTTGTGTATTTTTCCTTTAAATTTGAGTTGGACCTGGGCTGATATGACATTTTAATTCTGGGACAGGGATACCAGATATCATGGGCTAAGGGCACCCCTTAATTCAAGAAGTGGTATAAATCTATGCAATATAGGGACTATATGTACTTTAGGCATAACAAGTACCAAGGCAGGGAAACGTTTGCATTCATTCAGTAAATGGCATATATGCATATATCTATAGGGTAACTAACCAGAAAGCAATACCAAGGAATGCAAACCTATGTAAGTAGAGATACATAAATCTCTACTTCATGAGACAATATAGCATATATAGTACTCAACATTCTGATCATAACGAGTCGTGTTCCGTCGCGGTTTCCCATCTAAAGATTGAAGTCATATGATGTCGCATCCCATGGGTTCGGAAATCTGACAAGGTGGAGATTATATATAAGAACTGAATAAAATAGTTTGTGAAATAAGTCATCATAAAATTTACAAAGGATCAAAACTTAAGGAGACTCAATGATAAAAGTGCGGTGGGACACACGCCGGTTTGGGCGTACTGGCGCAATAGGCCCAACAGATAAGCCCATGGCAGTTCCAACTTAAAACCAATTGGCGATAAGAGGAGAGACCATAGAACTTATATGTTGGACACTTTTTTGTTTCTTTTCCGATGTTGGAGAACCCCCC